TTTTTTTTTTTGTAAATACTTATTGTTAAGACACAGAAACGAATTATGTATCGTTTTCACTTTTATTGTCTTATTATTGATTAAAATAACAACTTTTCTTAGGATTGCCGAGATAGTCACATCTTCTCCAGTGGGAATGCAACTAACTACTTTAAGCAGCCGTGGAGGGTTTTACCAAAGAAATGTCACGTGGTACCCAAACCAGCAACAAATAGGACAACAGGTGTTCTGCTTTAAAGCGGTGGACTCGGCGGGGTAAGACTGGTTACTAATAAGTCTCATCAACTTAACGCACAGGAAGCGAAAGAATTTTTTTGATCGTATTTGCTGTTTAATTCACTGTACATTTACAGAGCGAAATCGGTCTGTTGTTGATTCGAATCACTGTTCTTTATATACAGCTGTACTTGAAATCCTAATCCGCGAAAATTGGTCGTTTACCGAAGGGCGATAACTCTGGAAATCGAAGCTTCCCGTGCGAGGTACGACTGTGCCGAGAGGGAAAAAAGAGACAAAGGGTGAAACTGACCATCACATGATTCGTTAACATTTAATGTGTAATGTTCTGTTTTCTTGGCCACAGATTTGGAACTGAACAGCGATGCGTCACGATCCTCGTAGGTCAAAGTGAGTACTAACTAAAAGAAATTGTAGAATAATTTTGCTATCGATCCGCATCGTAAAGTTTTAACCTCGTAAAGTGCGATTTAGATGACAGAAGAAAAAGTAGTAAAGAGAAGTAGAAAACCTTTTTTGATGTTTCTATCTACATTTAGTGTTTGAAACACGAGTGGAAATTTGGGAGAGCGAGAACTATCTCAAACTTTCAAAAGCGTTCCCTCAAGTACATAGAAACAAGGAGAACACCCCTATATCTTTTAGGAAACACTGGGCAAAAAAAAAACATAAAGAAATCAGTGGTTTATTTCTCTATAGAAAAGAAAATTCTTTCTGCTCGCGCCATCATTCAACTTCGTTACCAAAGTCTTTCTTCTAGAGAATGGGATGAAGAGAGGGAACGAGGTTGGCCATCACCACTTCGTAGTTCGTGCTACTTCTGTTTCTATTGAGTTACGAAATTACGGTGCTTAGCGCACAATTTAACGCAGGGTGTTTTTAATGTCTTAACAAATAGTCAGTAGCCCTATTGTCGTTCGTTCAATATTGTTTAGGTTAGGAAAGTACGAAATCAACGCTTCCACGTTTCACTCCCGCGCCCCTCCGCTCTCCATCGGGCCTCGTAGGATTAACGAAAAACGAAAGAAACAATTTTCATAGAATTTCTTTATTACTTTAGGATGTCTCGTTCATCCTAACATCCAATTCTTTTGTTTTTTTTCTTTTTATTAAATTTTATATCTTTAGTTTATGTAGTGTGATCGTCCGGGTGAGCGTAGTTCTGAAAAGAACTGTTGTTGGTGACAGTCACCAACAACTTAACAGTTCTTTACAGAACTTCCCTCACCCGGACGATCACACTTTTCGGCCTACTGATACTCCTGGGTTCAAACCATTCACTATGTTAATATCTTTACCAAAAGATGGGGCAACAAACCTCTAGCGGTAAATAGATGGAAAATATATTTTCCAGCATCAAGAAACAACTTTTCTCCAATTCTATTGATTTTTTCCTTACTTTAAGTACCTTTTACCGATTTGCCAATTGCAACCCCTGTATTTCGATGTGACAGACTACCTTTGCCCAACTATTTCTAACAGACCAAACAAAAGAGGGTAACAATTGAATGAGACGATTAATTTCCTAGGTAACACTCCACGAGTGATTATAGGAAGTCGCAGTCCAAGAACTCCAAACAGTACAAGAGGACCAGGTTTTGTCCAGTTGGGCATCAAGTTTGACCGAGTGGTAAGACCAGTATATTAGATCATCAGCATTCTTGATAATCGTAATATCTGGTTTGCACTTCACCTCATCACAGTCACACTAATAAAAATCTTCTATCCTCAGTAGCCTCAAGAGAGGATGAAGTAAAAGAGAGTTCATCCTCCTTATTATATGACTAGTTACGTGAGAGGACAGGAGAAACCAAATCCTGTGCTGCGATTGGCTATCCGAGCGGGACGATGGCGCTATCTTGCCCGATGTGTCCTTCAGGGAAAATTTTCCCGAAAACCGTACAATAAATCCTTTATTGACTAAGCTTGTTCGGTCAAGATGGCTGGAAATTGGCCTCGGATTTTTGTTGTTGTTGTTGTTGTTGTTATTATTATTATTTTATTTTTTATGTTATTTTTTTTTTCGCGTGTTTATGGACCTTGACTCTGTCTCGGTCCGTAATCACGCAAAATAAATAAATAAATAAACAAATAAATAAAATAAACTTGGCCAATATCCAACCATCTTGATCGAACAAGCTTGGTCAATAACCCATATATATTTAGCAAATAAAGAAGCCTAAGCTGTGTATTACACTGTGATAAAAAACGACGGGCATTTGAGAACATAAGGGAAATGTAGAAAATACGAGCCGCAGGCGAGTGTTTTCTACATTTCTCGAGTGTTCTCAAATGTCCAGAGTGTTTTATTACAGTGTAATACACGGCTTAGGCTTCTTCGTTTGCTTTATGATATATAGAGGTAATGTGGCGAAAAACAATAAAGCACGCTTTTACTTTGTTTTATACTCTGATAAAACAGGGGTTTTTGACCAATCAGAGCGTGCGCAGGGTCCTATCTACATTATAAGCACATGTATAGGCTTTATTGCCAGGCTAATCCCTCTCACGTTTAAGAAATACAAAACATGTACCGTGTTTCTATCAAGTTATAGAAACACGAGTGGAAGTTTGGGAGAACGGGAAATGCTGTGGGAACACGAGCTGCAGGCGAGTGTTTTCACAGCTTTTTCGAGTTCTCCCAAATTTTCACGAGTGTTTCTATAACTCAATAGAAACACGGAGAACATGTTTTCTATTTCTTCTAGAAAACAGCGCGACGAACAAAAGGAAACAACTTGTTAACTTTGATTATTAAAATGTAAATTCTCTTTACTCGCGCCATCATTACGTCACAGCTCGTGCTAGTTCTGTGTTTCTATCGACTTATAGAAAAACGATTTTTAATCAATCAGCGCGCGTATTTTCTTAGGACTGTTTTCGAATTTTCTTTAAAGTTGGTACCCAGGTCTTTCCGGAAAAATTTTACCACACACAATGCGTGAATATTTCCTTGGATACTGAAAAATCGGAATTTATGTGTTATTACATTGCGTTATTATCTTGCTATACTAAATAACCGGACAGTGCCTCGCTTAATTAAACCGCAGGGNGCGCATGCAAAATTTTTACTTTTCAACTTGAAAATGACCGTCGAGCGGTCGAAACGTCGTTGCTTTTTAACGTTAACATTTTTAGTGAAATCTGTTTCTAAAAAGTTGTTGATTCGTAGTTTAAAACTGTCGATCAGATAGTAAATGATTTACATTTTTGTGAGTTAAAAGGACTTCTCTTATATCGTCTATTGTTTTCGCCACAGGTACGTTTTAACTTCCGTCTGGCTTTTCGAAGATCATCCCAATACTGTGACCAGAATACAATAAGCCAGGGTAAACTTATTAGCGTGGGTTCATGGAAGGCACAGTGTATAAGCGCTTCCAATCCACGATGCAATTCGTCTGAGATAACAGTTGGTAGCGCAGACTACTTTTGTACCGACTATAGTACAAGCGAAGATTGGACTATGGGTGGAAATACATTCAATTATACGTTTCCTTCTACCAGTAAGGAATGGTCTGTAAGGTATGTTCTTTTGTGTAGAGACGATTAACGGAAGCCTTTTAAAGTGTCACTAGCCCCCATTTTTTTTCATTTAATAAAATCCATTAGTTTCACCAACTACTTCAGCGAAGAAATCATCTCGATTGGTAAAAATTCCTGCGTTACTGCAGGCGTTTGAATTTGTAATTTCTATGTTCGCGACCGCGCAAAGTGGGATCTGGGTCGGGCTACTAGTGACGTCACTGCCGGAACCGAGCGTTATCAAAACATATTTGGGTTATTTGTGATTCATATTTTATCAAAAACGGACACGATTTTTCAGTAAAAGAACTATAACATTTAGCATTACAATTCAGAGACTAGCCACGATTTGGACGGCTGCGATGACTGCAAATATATGTTTTTTTCATTCCGAGGTGCGGGTCGCCAGTCGAGAGCGCCGCGTTGTAATTTAGGGCAGGATCGATAATTTGTTGGTCCATTTGGGTTATAAAGGTACAAATAAGGGCGGAAGAGTTAACTTACAGCTCTTAAAGAGTTGTCAATGAACACGAAGAGTTGGTAATATAATTTGACTTTTCGGAAAGTGCGGATTTCTGAGTGTCGAAACATTTTCAACCTCAACATTAATTTTCCCCGAAATACAAGCTTAAAATGCGATAGAGTCGAAGTCCACTCCTACCTACTTCTCCAGATCAATGATTGAAAAGAATTTTTAACATAAGAGATAAGCAGAGATGTCGGCAAACAATTTCCAAATGTGAGGTAACTTTTCACTTCGTTATTGTGGACCGACCGTGGTATTTATATGCATAGTTAATTACTGTGTACGCACATAGCAAGCTACGCAAAAGTTTGCATATTCAGTGGCATTAGTAAATTATGGAAAATCGTTCGACAAGATCTTGAAAAAAGGTTTAGAATAGTATCAGTTAAATGTTATTTTGAAAATTCCATTTTACGTACGCTAATAACCTGGGAGTTATCGACTTATTATTTTGCGTTTCGGTTGACTGACAAACGCATTCTTCTTTCAACACGGTAATCTCCACCGAAAGCTATAGAGTGGAATTTAAACCAATTGTTTTACTTTCCTCATAAATTTATAAATGTTTGATTCATTTTAAGTTTTTAATTAAGATATATTTTGTCCTCAAAAACGAAGCTCAAAGAACAAAACAATTGTGTATGCGGAATGACCTTCGAGAAACAGAGCTATATTACGAAGTCCGGCAAGCGTATGGTTTTATATAAAATAGACAAATACATGGCTAGTTCACCATTTCAAAGCCTCAAAAATCTTGATCGCCTCGTTGTAGGACGTAGGTTTTTTCACTTTTCGTTAAGAAAGGTCTCTATTTCGAGTACAAAAAACGCGATGCGTTTTGATTAATTTGCCGTATGATTTTCTCACCTTTACACTCCATTGTTTTGGTTTGGGACTCGGGGGATCGTTTGCGGAGTTCGCAGTGGTCAGATTTCTCCCAGCTTATACCAAATTCGTGTCTTATGCAGTACCTTGAAAATGTTGAGCCTTCCACCAGAAGCTAGAGAAGAATATACAGGCCTTGAAAATCTCTAGATTTTTACAAAAGTGTTGAACCCGTCATCGAAGAAATCTATCGATGGAGAGATCACAGATCACTCTCTGCACAAATCAGCCCACTTCTTTTGGTCTTTTTCTCGCTTTTGGTGGAGTGTCATCGAGATAGAGGTATTGAATGAAGAGGAATACTCTATCCTAAGCTTCCTGTATTACTACAGTCTCCAAAAACAAATCTTCCTTGCATTCCGCAAAGATTTAAACTCGCACTATCGCATCTTCGCAAAATAATATTCTTCTCAGAAGCAAAGCATTGTTATTCCCGAAATGACGTCCCATTCGTCCCATTCGTCCCATTCTCCGCTAGTCCTCGATCGTGAACATAGAAAAGGACAATTTTACAAACTTTGAAAATTCTTAGGAAATTAACAAAAATAGCTGCACAAAATTTTTTCGCAGTGATGATCAGGAAAAGAAGGAGATTTATATTACCGAAAAACAATTTTGGGGCTAGTAGCACTTTAATAAAATAAACAAATGGATAGATTTTTCTTTGAAGCAAGTGACAATTTTTCGGTTATTTATGCTGAATTTTCACGAGAGAGGCTTACTGCGGTTATTGCTAACCATAACTAGGTAACTTTTAAACTTCAAAAAAGCCTAGGGAAAAGCTGGTTATACAGCAATAAATAACTAAGGTACACAGTAGACAACTTCCAGTTTACGCGGGAAATTCATCTTTTTGCACAAAACCTCGGGGAAGTGTTACAGCAATGCCGTTGAAACGTAACCATCGCCGCTCTTTATTTTTTATTAGTATTTTTTCCCTATAGCTTTGCTCCTTGAAGTGTCGGATAATGCTTAAATAAGGTTATTACTCCTCTTAAGGCCCTTTTAAAGATCGCAGCACAGCTTGTCCTTCATTTTCTCGTATTATTGTCAGTCTAGCTAGCAAGTTTATCCTTGCATTGCTTTCGGGTCTTGTCACAAGACGAGTCTTAAGCTTGCATAAAACTCCTGCTTCGCAGCTCTTTAGAAGACTAAGCTTTATATTTTAACCTCTGAATATTTTAAATGTTTTCGTTGATAATAGTACGCCATCCGTTAAGTTGCACATATAACTTTTCTTTGAATTTGTTGCTGTTGTTGTAGTTGTTGTTGTTGTCTAATTTTAATCTGAAATATTTATCTTGTTTTCGGTGATTAGTTTTTCTGGCTGCTGCTGGATTTCATTGTCTCGTGGTGGTCGTAATTGGAGGGTGTCTACAAGCGTCAACCTTGCCAGAAGATCCGATAATGGAAGAATTAACTCATCTCCAATATCAAGGAGTGCTGCAATTGTCCGATTTAGAGAGGGTTGTCCCCAGTCTCTAAGAATCCCTGTTGAAGACCCGGATGGTGATGTCGTTAAGTGTCGTTATTCAACTTTCTCAGAGTCTCAATTTAACAATGACAGTTTTCCTTACGGTGTACTTGATGAGGTAAATGAGTTTACAGAGTTTGACTTTCTTTGATTGTTTATTCATCTACGTCCCAGAAAAAAATGTGTTCAAATACCCTGCATTTTTTTTTTATCCTTTATAGTAAACATGATTTGGACATGCGCTGTTGAGACCGTTGTCTCTCTCTCTGTAGTATTTATTTCATTCCCAAAAAAGTAGCCGTAGATTTCCGCTAATTTTTCTCTCAGTTATTGAGGATATTGTCCTCATTGAAATTATGAAATAAAAAAGTGGAGGTCACCGTGCTCGTTTAAGAGAAAAGGAGCATTTATTTCGCTATAGAACTTAGTTTGAGGAAATCTCTTACGTTTTGTACGCGCACGCGCTCATGTGCGCGCGCTAATGACGCGAAAATGGTGCGCAGTAGGGATGCGCAATGCAATACTAAGGAATCACCTTAAATAAACTTTTTTTAACCACTTAACGTGTTGTAAATGTACTAGAAATCCGTGAATTCATTTGGAATGGCCGATAGATTACGATAGCTTAGAAAATCAGATTACAGCATTTATATTAGTATACGAGTACAATTTCATTAATGAAAACTGAAGACCAGTATGAGGAGACAACTTTCTAAATAACATTGCAGAAATCCTGTGTAATAAAGTACAAAGGTCGGAAAACGACAGTTGGCACTTACGCTGTAGCGATGACTTTAGAAGATTTCCCGGCAGGAACTACAGACTTTAGTAACGTCAAACCATTCAGCGCTGTGGGGCTACAGTTTCTTGTCATAGTCACTGCTCATTCTGGTTCTTGTAATGATACTCCCGTATTTACTGGAAACACTCCTCAAGATGGCGAATGTTCCGAAGTGCAGGTTGGCTCGGTGTATACAGCAGTCATTCAGGCGTCTGCTTCAGACGTCTCAAAGCAGTAAGTTACTGAGATCTGGGCAAGTTATTAGGTTGTAGCCAAACATGTCCCGTCACGGGAATGGGGGAAGAAAACAGATCCCCTTGCCTCAAGAATATTAATTATTAGAAATTGTTTATAGTTTGTGCTGAATTATTTTCAGGTATCTCCAACACAATAAAGTTGACGTCAATAATTCAATTCAATCAACTGTGGACCCTAAAATGTCACACAGCTTAAGACAAAAAGAATTCATACAAATTTTATCGAAAAAGGTCCATTTAGGAGAGAACTGTACTCTTCTCTTCTCTTTTAACCATTTTTGTGGAAAAAATGCCTGTCCCGTTTCGTCTGTAAAAATTCTGAATTAAGAGTTTTTTTTTTCTTTGTAAATACTTATTGTTAAGACGCAGAAACTAATTATGTATTGTTTTCTCTCTTTTATTGTCTTATCATTGATTAAAATAACAACTTTTCTGAGGATTGCCGAGATAGTCACATCTTCTCCAGCGGGAATGCAACTAACTACTTTAAGCAGCCGTGGAGGGTTTTACCAAAGAAATGTCACGTGGTACCCAAACCAGCAACAAATAGGACAACAGGTGTTCTGCTTTAAAGCGGTGGACTCGGCGGGGTAAGACTGGTTACGAGTAAGTCTCATCAACTTAACGCGCGGGAAGCACAAGAATACTTTTTGACCGTATTTGCTGTTTAATTCACCGTATATTTACAGCGCGAAATCGGTCTGTTGTTGATTCGAATCATTGTTCTCTATATACGTCTGTACTTGAAATCCTATTCGCGAAAACTGGTCGTTTCCCGAAGGGCAATAACTCTGGAAATCGAAGCTTCCCGCGCGAGGTACGACTATGCCGAGACGGAAAAAAGAGACAAAGGGTGAAACTGACCATCACATGATTCGTTAACATTTAATGTGTAATGTTCTGTTTTCTTGGCCACAGATTTGGAACTGAACAGCGATGCGTCACGATCCTCGTAGGTCAAAGTGAGTACTAACTAAAAGAAAATGTAGAATTATTTTGCTATCGATCCGCATCGTAAAGTTTAACCTCGTAAAATGCGATTTAGATGACAGAAGAAAAAGTAGTAACGAGAAGTAGAAAACGTTTTTGATGTTTTTATCCACATGTAGTGTTTGAAACACGAGTGGAAATTTGGGAGAGCGAGAACTATCCCCAACTTTCAAAAGCGTTTCCTCAAGTACAGAGAAACTAGGAAAGCATGTTTTCTATATCGTTTAGGAAACACTTGGGGGGGGGGGGGGCA